GAACCTAATAATTATCAGAATGTTGAATACTGTGGTGAGCTGAAAGGTGACCCTGGTATGTCCTGGAATGATATTAACTGTGAACACCTTAACAACTGGATTTGCCAGATACGAAAAGGTATGATCACCTATCCTTTCCTTTATCTCAGATTGCAGAACAAACCTCCTGACACCCTAGTATCTTTCCTTTATTAGAAGAACGACAATAATAACAAAAACCCAAAATAACAAAATAAGGGAACTGTCAGGGCCCATCATTTCACAGGATAAGAATGAAATCGCTGAGCACAGATAAATGTTCCAAAGGAACAGAAGATCAAAAGGCCACCCAGAAATCCTGGACAAGAGTCACGTCCTCCCAAATAGTTCCCACGAGCAGCTCTGATTCCGGTCCAGGTTTTATAGTGGCAGACGTGGGTGGGTGTCCTACACTGTAAGCAGAGTAATTAAAATGCAGTTTCTTTTTTGGGAATTTTCACCTTCTCACCGTCTATGTTAGTCATCAAGTAGGCGAAGGTTGCCCCAAGTCTGAATATTCTAGGTATTGAGTTCTCAAGTAAATATTCAACACAAAGAACAGGCACCATGTGTAAGGCCCTGATGCTGTTATACCTACTGTGTTATCGATGGTCAAAAAATGTGAGTGCTATCAGTCATTGTCTATGACTCAGAAAGTTCCACATATCTAAGTCAGACATGGAGGTCAGAGGATCCAGGTTCTAATGTTCAGATAAACAAACAAACCTATTCTTAAACCAAAATACATACATCGACTTCTTCCGTGGTAAACAGGTAAATGGAACTGCATTGCCCTCTGCTGTTGGGGAATCTTGGCCACTGTCCCAACTCTATGGCTAGAGATACCCTATTGCTTTGCTAATTTCCATGACTCTTTCTGCTTAGATTATTGCTTTCAAAGTGTCCAGAATAGAGGAATCAGTGGTGGCCAGTTATTTTTTAAAGGTCTCCTGGCTACCGATGGCTAGTATCCTTTTTGTATTATTTAATATTATTAATAGTAGCTCTACTCTTGCAGATGTTAAATATGTTAACCTCAAAACTAGGTAATCTGAGTTCCCTTACGGGATTCCAGTAAAATCCAGATATATCATTAACTACTTGGAAAGAAAAATATTTCATTTAACTTTTAGTAAAACTACACTTTTAATAAAAATAGGATTCTTTAAAGAAAACATATTTCATATTTTACACATCAATAGTTCACGTTTCATAGTTTCAAATAATGAAATTATAAGTAATTTCACAGCTAGTTATAAGATGTCTGCCTGGAAGCTAACATCTATTGGGCACCTACTACATACCAGTAACTCACATATTTTATCTATTTATGCATATTACTAATCCCTTTTTGTAGCTGACAAAAATTAAGGCTATATAATTGAACCCTGGGCTTGGTATTTGAAGCAAGCCTTCCTGCTTCTAAAACTCATGTTCTTCTTCTTTCATACAATGCTATTGGTGCCTAAAAACTCTCTTCCAATTTCTGGTGGCTATTCTTGCACCTAATTTGTTTAACTTTTAACTCCTAATTCTCTTTTCCTTCATTCTGCTCTCTACAATATGATTAATTGGAGAGAGAAAGGGAAGTGGAAAAAAAAGAATGGTTAAATTTTAGCAATATTGACCCATGAAAGTAGTGAAAATAGAAGGATATGTAATAGCAGACGTTCAAATACACTTTATATCTAATATTCTCTTGTTTTACAGGAGAAACACCAAAACCTGAGCCAACACCAGCTCCGCAAGACAGTAGGTGTTTTCTTAGTTTCTGATCTCTGTATTAATAGCCCTTTTTTCCTTCCTTCCTTTCTCAGTGAAAAAATTATATCCCCTAAGATGGTGGAGGGCACAAGTCCTTAATACCTTTGAAAATCTCATATTGGAAGTTCAGACCTTCCTCTTCAGAGAGAAGCTCATAGGCACAGCCATGAAGCATGTTAATACAGTTTCTCAAGGGTTCGTGAGTCCAATCCAAGGGCCCAGGTTTCTCCTCCTTCAGCACATATATTAGTTTGCAAAGGCTGCTGGAACAATTGCCATGAACTTGGTGGCTTCAAATAGCACACACGACAGTTCTGGGAGTCAGAAATCTGAAATCAGTCTCCCTGAGCCAAAATCCAGATGTCAGCAGGGCCATGCTGCCTCCAGAGGCCCTAAGGGAGAACTCACATCCTTGCCTTTGCCAACTCATAGAGCTGCTGTCCTTGCATTCATTGGCTCATGGCCCCTGCCTCCAGCGTTGGAAGCAGCAATGTAGCATCTTGTTTCAGCGGTGAGGTTGCCGCCTTCTCATATAGTCAAATTTCCCCCTGACTCCCACTAGAAGGACATTTGTTATTACATTTAGGCCCTATCTAGATAATCCATGATAATCTCTTCATCTCAAACTCCCTAATGTAATCAGGTCTACAAAGCCCCTTCTTCCATATAAGATAACCTTCACAGGTTCCAGGGATCAGGACCTGGTTATCTTTGGGGGTCTTTATTCAACCTACTATAGCACAGAACCATAGAATCCTATGGTTTGGAAAAAGCCTTGGGATCTCTCCTGGTAAGTGAATTTCTAGATTTGCCAATTCTATCCTAAAGCAACGAAGTCCATCTGCTAGAAGTTCTTTCTTATGTTGAGATGAAATCTGCTTTTTGTAGTTCCCAGTTCGTGGATCTAGAACATCATGGGTGCGTATATTTACACCCTCCCGTCTACGCCATCCTATTAATGAAAGTAACACTGGGACTTAGTTAGAAGAAAAAGTGGCTAATTTTTACGAGATTGGCAGAAAGTGGATATTTGGCCCTAGGCAATTCAGTCTGTATTTGACATAAGCATTCTTCTTATTCTGGGCTCTCAGAATAATACCTCTCCTGTAGCTACTCTGTCTTTTTCACTTTTGTGTACTATAGAGACCAGATTTTTTAATTTGTCTAAGTAAAATTCATCACCTTTTCTCATTAATTTCTCAGATCCACCAGTCACCGAAGATGGGTGGGTTATTTACAAAGACTACCAGTATTATTTTAGCAAAGAGAAGGAAACCATGGACAATGCCCGAGCATTTTGCAAGAGGAATTTTGGAGATCTTGTTTCTATTCGAAGTGAAAGTGAAAAGAAGTTTCTATGGAAATATGTAAGAACATGATTAATTTAAGAACAGAACAGTAATGTGTGATAAACAGAGAGAGTGTCTATAGTTGGTACCCCATGGCACACGTTTTAATTATGCGCTGAATTTGCACCTCTTGAAGTCAGAGGAAAAGATGAGAATGTCAGGGGAGGAGGAG